AGTTCTGCTTCTGCACCTGGTTCCTCTTTTTCTTACAAGATAAAAATTAGTAATAGTAACAGAAGTCTGAGTGACCTTGTTAGTTCTTGACAAGTATGAAGAGCATGCTGACACCTTAGGTTTTCTCCTCCCCTCAGCTTCCTCAAAGTCTTGGGCCCCTGTCTCCAAGGCACTGATTTATCTGACCCTATCACTGACAGCCATGACCTCATCCTACCTGCCCTTCCCCCTGCTTTGTACTCAATAAAAGTCAGTGTCCAGGCACTTGAGGCCACGGCCAGACTCCATGCTTTGGTTGGCAGTGGACCCTGGGCCCAAACTCTGTTTTCTCTTTCTTTGTGTCTTTTATTTCCAGTTTCTCGTCTCCATACCAGCAGAGAGGGACTCATGGGACCCTGTAGGGCTGAACCCTACAATGCGTTCTACTCAGGACTTTCTTTTTCTTGCCATGGTGATCTGCAAGGCTAAAGGTACAACCACAAGACGATGGGCCTGTGTCCCCTGAGTCCTGGGTGGCTGTGCAGGGTAGACCCCCTGCCTAACCATGAGCTAGAAATACAGCTTTGTGTCCTTAAACTACAGATATTTTGTTACTTTGTTACAACAGCATAATCTAGTACCCTCTGAAAGGAGATTTGGAGATTGTAGGAAGGTTTTTCAGGATGCAAAATTCACAGAGGTCAGCTGCAGAAGCAAAGCTAGAATCACTGAGAGTGCCATGGAGGTGAGGCAAAGAGGAGGATGAAGTGAGTAACAGCTAGTTGAGGAAGGGGTGCAATTTAATGGAAAAAACATGGACTTTGGAGTCAAGTATACCTTTGGAGGGTCCAAATAGGTTTCGCCATTTTCTCTTGGACTCTGAGCAAGTTGCCAACCTGTCTCATTTTTCTCATTTATAAAGCATAATACCTACTTTACAGGGTTGCTAAAAAGCTCAAATTACACACACACACACACACACACACACACACACACACACGACTAGCATGTAGCAGTATGTAACAGTTGGTAGGGAATCAAGAAAATAAACCTAGCTACCCTTTCTCTCTGTTCCCTTCCTTCCAACCATTTCTAAGCTTGGTAATAATTGGCTGTTTTGCTCTCCCAAGCTCTACAGCTAGGACTCCTTAAAGTCCTTACTCCAAGGTCTGCCTCCTCTACATCCCTGCTAGGGCTTTGAAACTAGAAGTGAATGCTGCCAAATCCTCTGTCTTACCACTCTACAAAGTGCACTTCAACCCTAAAGATGAAATCATGGCCAGGGTGACAGGCTAAAGTCTGAGCCAGGGTGAGCTTTTGAGGAAACAGTGTGGAGAGGGTGGCGGTGTCAGCTCTCTCCTTGCCCACACTTTAGTTCCTTTCTGCCCACACCCATTCAGGACATTGCCCTGTTCTTCTCAGCTGTCTTCTGTATTAACCTCCAGCCTGTTGGGTGCATTCACTTTTGCCAGCTTGACTTTCAATATGTATTAAAAAAAAATTTTACTTAGAAACAAAAGGGAAACCATCATATTCAAAAATATAACAAAAACAAAGAAGTGCATGCATTTACTGGACAAAGAGTTCTCATCTTGAGTAAACTGGGAGCACTCAGAGATGCCTGGAGGTCTTGGAGGCTACACGCTATCCACCGATACTTCCTGCCAAATTCTGAATATGCAGAAATTACCAGATCTCAGAGCCCTCGTTTCTTGTTGAATTTTAGTGAAAAAACTTCCCTGGATCCCACCATAGTTGAGTCTTGAAACAGGGTGTTCATCTTTATATTATAAAATGTCCTTGATTAGAGAGAATAGGCAGAACAAAATATTATATTTTTTAAAAGGAAACATGAGATCGAAAAAAAAATAAGAAATACTGTTCCAGTGACTTGGAATCCCAAGTTCTCAAAGGAAAGAAGGCCAATAAAGAAGTGGGAGGAGAAAGTCTGAGAACCGCATAAAAGGGTCCTGTTCCCACTGGGACCATGGTCCACTCACCAAATTGTCAGAAGCGTTGGAACCAGAGCAACTCCAACTTGAATAGGAGCCGAGAAAAATAAGGCTGAGACCTACTGGGTTACACACCCAGGAGGTTAGACATTCTAAGTCACAGAATGAGATAGGAGGTAGGCACAAGATACAGGTCATGAAGATCTTGCTCATAAAACAGGCTGCAGTCACAAGAACAGAAAATCAAACACTGCATGTTCTCACTCATAGGTGGGTGTTGAACAATGAGAACACATGGACACAGGGAGGGGAGCATCATACACTGGGGTCTGTTGGGGGGAAATAGGGGAGGGACAGTGGGGGCTGGGGAGCTGGGGAGAGATAGCATGGGGAGAAATGCCAGATATAGGTGAAGGGGAGGTAGGTAGCAAATCACACTGCCATGTGTGTACCTATGCAATAATCTTGCATGTTCTTCACATGTACCCCAAAACCTAAAGTGCAATTAAAAAAAAAAAAAAACAGGCTGCAGTTAGGAAGCCGGCCAAAACCCACCAAAGTCAGGATGGCAATGAGAGTGACCTCTGGTCCTCATGGCTACGCCCACACCAGCTCCATGACAGTTTACAAATGGCCTGGCAACGTCAGGAAGCTACCCTATATGGTCTAAAAAGGAGAGGCATGAATAATTCACCCTTTGTATAGGGTCCAGCCCTACAGGGTCCAGTGAGTTCCTCCCTGCTGGTGTGGAGATGAGAAACTGGAAATAAAGAATCAGGACACAGAGACAGAGAAAAGAGAGTTTGGGCCCAGGGGTCTACTGCTACCCAAAACGCAGAGACCAGCAGTGGCCCTGAGTGCCTGGACACTCTTTTATTGAGTACAAAGCAGGGGGAAGGGCAGGTAGGATGAGGTAATGGTGGTCAGTGATAGGGTCAGGTAAATCAGTGTCTTAGAGATAGGGGGCCCAAGACTTTGAAGAAGCTGAGAGGAGGAGAAAAACCTAAGGTGTCAGCACGCTCTTCATACTTGTCAAGAACTAACAAGGTCACTCAGACTTCTGTTACTATTACTAATTTTTATCTTGTAAGAAAAAGAGGAACCAGGTGCAGAAGCAGAACTTGAAAGTAGACATGGAATGTGACTGCTGAAGCACAGCCCCACATAGAGACAATTAAGTCCCTGGATGTCTGCGGGCCTCCGTGACAGCCGTCAGGACTACCATAAGAGCTTGGAGAAGCGGAGTTTTCTCCTAACTCCCCCGACCAAAGAGACGTCTCGGCCATCTCAGAGGTCTCCTTCCCTAGGTGGCTAAATAGCAGGCACTTTCACAGCGCTGGCACAGTCGCACAGCCAAGGCGTCCTCCAGCAGCCCTTATGTGGGCGTGACAGAGGACTTAGGGCGTCTTGTCTTAGGGTCACCTCTTTTCCAATGCCACTTCAGTCCCACACGTCTTGACCTGAGACTTATTAGTAAGAATAAAGATTATAGGATTATATATATGTATATATTTATGATTACATATGAATAGCTAGGTGATTATATATGATTATATATAGGAATATTTCTAATTCTTTTCTAATTCTATGTTTATATGAGACCATTCTGGGGCTTCAGGCCCTTGCCTCGGCTCTTGCGGGATTTTCCCCCAACACCCCTGTTTAGCATATGATCAAGAAATAACCCTAAAAACGGACAACCAATAGCCCTTGGGGGTGATCTGCCTATGAGTAGCCATTCTTTTATTCCTTCATTTTCTTTTTTTTTTTTTTTTTTTGAGACAGAGTTTCACTCATGTTACCCAGGCTGGAGTGCAATGGCGCGATCTCGGCTCACCGCAACCTCCGCCTCCTGGGTTCAGGCAATTCTCCTGCCTCAGCCTCCTGAGTAGCTGGGATTACAGGCACACGCCACCATGCCCAGCTAATGTTTTGTATTTTTAGTAGAGACGGGGTTTCACCATGTTGACCAGGATGGTCTCGATCTCTTGACCTCGTGATCCACCCGCCTCGGCCTCCCAAAGTGCTGGGATTACAGGCTTGAGCCACCGCGCCCGGCTATTCCTTCATTTTCTTAATTACTTGCTTTCACTTCACTCCATGGACTCCCCTCAAATTCTTGCAAAATTTAAGAACCCTCTCTTGGGGTCTGGATCGAGGCCGCCTTCTAGTAAAGAACTTGTAGCATTTGGTGTTTTAACGTTTGTGTTTCCTTGGTTTGTCACCTCGTTTACTTTCAACTGTTTAAAGGTGGGCTTTTTGGCCATTTTATGCAGCTTTAATTGTTCTCAGGGGAGTAAAGAAATGGCCATTTACTTTGAAAAATAGAGGGAACGTGTTGATGAGGGAAACAGCCAATTCTTAGGGTACAGTGCCCCTTGGTAGTGCAGGAAAGTCCTGGGGGCCATCTCTAACCCGCCCTCCTCCGCTACAGCATTTCCCACTGTAGTCATTCTCCATCGAATCCCAGAAGGTGCAGCATTTTGCCAGAACAGAGTGCTTCTAGGGGCCAGGCTCGGTGGCTCATGCCTGTAATTCCAGCACTTTGTGGGGCGAGGTGGGTGGATCACGAGGTCAGGAGTTTGAGACCCGCCTGAGCAATATGGTGAAACCCCCTCTCTACTAAAAATACAAAAATTAGCCGGGCATGGCGGTATGCGCCCGTAACCCCAGCTACTCGGGAAGCTGACGCAGGAGAATCGCTTGAACCCGGCAGGTGGAGGTTGCGGTGAGCTAAGATCGCGCCACTGCACTCTAGCCTCGGCGAGAGAGCCAGATTCTGCCTCAAACAAACAAACAAAACCAAAAAAACCCGAGTACTTCTGGGTTCCTGTTTCTTTAGGAGGCGGGCCAAGAGCTTTCAGCCCATTTGCAGGAGCGGGGTGACGGACACCTAGCAAGTCCAATGGGCATCGAGCGCGTCTAGGCTCGGCAGACTGTGAGAGCCAGCCTGGCCTCGGTCCCCAACTTGAGCACCGGCCCTTTGCTGCACGTCCCTTGCCCTCGCAACGCTAAACAATTAAAAAAAAAAAAAAAAGACAAAAACAGGAACCATCTCAAAACACACACACACACACAGAGAAGGATCCGCATTCAGAAAGGCGTGCACCTCCCCGCCTGATCCCCACCTCGCATCCTGCGGCTTCCCGAGCGTGCAGCGCCCATTTACCAATTGCCTTCCTGGGAGCTGCGGCCTCCCTCGCTCGGCCCCACTCCGGGTTACCCTTTCCCCAGCTCCCGCCTTAGCCAGGGGCCTGCCCGCCGGCAACTAGAGCTCGGGTCGAAGCGCCGCTCAACGCCGGCCTGCCGCTCTCCTGGCTCCACTTTCACTTTCGGTCCCGGGCGGCGAGGCTTGCGGCGGTGGCTGCGGCGGCGCGAGGGTGAGCCAGACCCCAGACCCCCAGGTACAGCGCGCTCGAGCCGCGGGGAGGGGACTGCGGGCCCGGAGGAGAGCTCGACACCCGCCTTTTCTCTGAGCCCGCGGGGGAGGCCTGAAGGCCTGGGGCGCGGGAGGGAGGCAGGGCGCGGGACGGCGTGGGGGAGTGGCTGGCTAGGCCCAGGTCTGCAGGGTGCCCGGCGGGTCTGCCAGGTGTCTGGCGGGTCGGCGGCGGGCCCACCCCTGCCGGTCCGGGTCCTGGTCCCTGTCCCTCCGGGCACTTGGCCGGTGCGCCTGCTCCGCGGGTCTCCCTGCTGTTCCGCGGGTTGCAGCCTCCCTCGGCGCACCGGTTAGCGCCTGGGTGCCTGCCAGCCCTGCAGGCCTAGAGCCGGCGCGGGGCGGGCGGCAAGGTCAGGCGGAGGAGGGCACGTGCCCGGAGCTGCCAGGGAAACCCAGAGGCTTTGGGTTAACGACTCGGTGGGGTGGAATGCGCGGGCCGTGTGTCCTCAAGGTCACTTCGCTCCCTGCTTCTCCTGTTCTGGTTGGCAGTTCTCTCTTTCCCCTTCGCTCTGGCTCTGGCTGGGTTTATTCAGATAAAGCTCCCCTTTTGACGCAAATTAAAAGTTTCCTATCTAGGTGCCTCACTGGCCAGGTGGGCCGGAAAGTTAATTTCATGAGGGGGCGGGGAAGAGCACACTCTTAACGCTTTTGGATTTCTTTGTGTAGGCTAGGTTCAGAAAGAAATTATCTGTTTGCTATTAAACACCTAGAGTATTCGCCTCAACTCAGGACATGGTCAACAACTAACAAAACAAAACAAAAAAACTTTAACGTTGGGCAAAGTTGTCTCTTCCCTAAAGATTTGGAATTACGCTAAGTAGCACATTTTCAGGTGGGGCCTGAATGGAAACATTCTAGTTTTTTTTTTTTTTCCAAATTCAATCCAGCATTTTTATTAGTTACCAACAGTGCTTGTTAATTTCATTATTCAGAGAACTTTGGAAGAACCTCCATGGTGATGATCTGTTTCATATCCTATAGTGCCCCAATAAAAGGAAGGGTGAAATAACCCAACCAGTTGCCCCTGACTTCCTTGGTGATTGGGAAAGGTCGGAATCACCTCACGCAGCTCAAATAACGTTCCTAAAATATCTTGAACTCTTCCTTGCTGTGAAGTAATTGACTGTGACAGATGCTTTAGTTTGATCAGAGGCCAAAGGACAATCGTTTTTAAACCTTTAAAGGAATATAGCCAAGTACAGAAAAGTCCTTTAAAACCCCTATTTGCGGGCTCTAAACCTGCTTGCTTGATATTTTTCCTTAAATATCTCATGGACATCACAAATTAAACATATTAAAAAATGAACTCAAGATTTCTTCTCCTCCCCTTTAAATCTGTTCCACCTCTAGGCTGCTCCATCTCAATAAAGAGCACCTGTGACTATCCAGATGTTAATTCAAGAAACCTGGCAGTCATCCCTGATCGTTTTCTCCCTCATCCCCGACTTCCAATCCACTGCAGATGTGGATGTTGAATCCTTCTATAGTGTATTCTCTCTCTCCCGTCTCCCCTCTCTCAGCATCACCCCAGCACAAGCCACAAGCCTACTTTATCTAGATTGCTAACTGGCCTCTTGGCCTTTACTCTTGCTTCCTTTCAGTCTTCCATTTTTCACACAGCAACTGGGTTGATTTTCTTGGGACATGAAAGAAACCCTAAGACCTCCTAGCTCAAAACCCTTCCAACAGCTTCTCATTGCGCTTAGGATGCCAACTGAAATCCTTAACCTGCATTTAAGGCTGTGTGATACTCTGGCCCCTGCCTGTGTCTCCTGTTGCATCTTTGCCTTGAACTTGTGTTTCAAGTTCACTGGCTTTCATAACCAGTGCTTTCTACTGCCTCTGAGCCTGCAAAATGCTTGTTGTTCTCCCTACTTGGAACACGCGCCCTGTCCCTCTTTTCTCAGTTAACTTGTGTCTGTCCTTTAAGTCTCAGCTAAAATATTCTCAGAGAGTGCCCAGTGGAAATTAGTCTGCTGTTATTCTCTTCTGGTGTATGTGTGTGTTTTCCTTTATATCTCTAATCACAATTAGTTGCTATATAAATTCTGTGTAAACTTCTTAAAACTCCCACCTCTGATTTTAAGTTCTTTGAGATCAGGGACCTGTGCTGCCTTGTACTAATACCCAGAAAAAAAACCCTCCCACATAATAGGCTCTCAATAAGTGTTTGTGGAATGAATGATCAAAAATGTTTTAACTCATTTAATCTTTGCTACAATCTTGTGAGAGAGGTATTATTATTATTCCATTTCACACATGAAGGAGATGAAAATGGGATTAAATAACTTGCACAGTAGGTGGCAGAGCAAGAACTGAAAGCCAGGTATTCTGGCTGTAAGCCTAATATGTATGTTACTGTATCTTTATAATTTTGCATGTGTATGTATGTATGTGTATATCTACTCTGTGTGTGTGTGTGTGTGTGTGTGTGTGTAAACATATTTGTAGAAAAAATATCAGAGGCTTCTACTTGGTGTTCTAAATAAAACTGTGCATTGTGAGTCTTGATAACATGCGAAGGAAAAATGAGTAGAGCACCACATGGTAAATCAGAAAGTAAAAGCAGAAGTTTAAAAAGAGATCTTAGACAGGGTGCAGTGGCTCACACCTGTAATCCCAGTACTATGGGAGCTGGGGCAGTAGATCACCTGAGCTCAGGAGTTTGAGACCAGACTGGCCAACTGGTGAAACCCTGTCTCTACTAAAAATACAAAAATTAGCCGGGCGTGGTGGCACATACCTGTAATCCCAGCTACTTAGGAGACTGAGGCATGAGAATTCCTTGAACCTTGGAGGGAGAGGTTGCAGTGAGCCGAGGTTGCACCACTGCACTCCAGCTTGGGTGACAGAGTGAGACTCCGTCTTAAAACAAAATAAAATAAAATAAAATAAAATAAATCAAAGAGATCTTGATAAAGCTGAAAAAGCAGGGAGTTTATACTCACACAGACTTGGATTGCATTCCAACAAGTTGTGCGAACTTGGCAAAGTTACATGAATGTTTCTTTGCTTCAGTTACCCTGCCTTGAAATGAGAATAATAGGCTATTAGAGAGACTGAGCATGTGCAAAGTGTCTGGCACTTTGGAGTAGTTTAGTAAATATTAATTCTTTTTCCTCCTTGGCTTTTATTCCTTTAAGTGTTAGTAGAGTTTAACTTCAAAGAGAATTGTACTTCTCTTGGGAAGAGCTGCTGATGTTGGGTAGACTACTGTTTTTGAGAGCTTTCTTTTTTTTTAACTGCATCCCTTTCAGAAAATTGTTAGTAAAACCAGACCCTAGGAGACCAGCCAGAACCATGGAATGCCATGTTTCAAACTGGAACACTTATTATTGGAAGTAAAGCCAAACAAGAACAAATATTTCAGGAGAACAGCTAAACACATTGCATGATCACAGAATCTTGGATGTACCCTACTGTTGGGAATTAATAGGAGAATTTATCAGCGAAGCCCTTTATTCACTACATGGAGTTTTTACCACACCCCAGTCATGTGCAAAATGTTTTTTTGTTTTTTTTTTAACCAAGCCCCACTCATGCACTGCATCCTCCTTGAGGCACAACTGTTTCTCTTTGGCCCCCGCATGGACCCAACCCTGCAAAGCCTCTGATAGCAAGTCTCGGTACCAACCACTTTGGCAGCCCATCAGCCTTTCTGTTAGCTCAGAACCAGTTGGAATTTCTGGATCTCCTCTGGGGCTGTTGGAGATCTCTCAGAGTCCTTACATGCTTGAACCTGCCACCTTCACAGAGCCCTCTGGATCCCATCTTGGGGCAAGGGCAGTGCTCATTAAGCTGTTGCTGCCAGTAATTCCATATGGAAAGCAGAATGTAAGTTCCATTTACTCTCTAGTTCCCCAGCTAAAAAGGAAAAAAAAGTCCTCTCTGTTCACACTTCCTGTCTCATCTGGGTGGTGCCTTTTAAACTGGGATTATGAGATTTCCAAGACTCTCTTTGCTGTGCAGGTAGCCTTTCTGTTTAGCCTCCAGACTGCTCCAGAGGTGAGGAGAAGGGAGGTCCCTTGAGCTGTGCATTTGGGAAGGTAGAAAGGAAGTGAGGGGTTACAGAAGGTACATCAGCCATTGCCTTGAAGTAATATCTAATCACATATAGTTGAAGGGGGAAAGCCAGGGTTTGGCCGGGATGAGCTGTTCAACCTTGGCTTCTCAGTAAAATCTCTGGACAGTTTTTATTTAAAAAAAACCCAAAACCAGAAATCAAACAATCCAAAAAACCATTCCCTGATCTTATCACCATAGATTCCAGTCTAATTGTTGTCAATAAGGACTCAGGCATTGACAATTTTAAAAGCTTCCTAGGTCACATTCATATGCAGCCATAGTTGAGAAACTTGACATCTCAGAGAAGGAGAATTCCATGTACTGTGAACAGTTCGAGGGATCCACATTGTAGGTTTGCTGCTTTTCCCAACTGGAGCAAGAAGTGATGGGCCAATCACTTGCATTCACCTGGTAGGGCCCCACTTGGCAAACACCCATTAGAAAGGTGTGTTTTTGTATAAAAGAAATAAAAACTTATGTTTGATTCTTGGGGCATGGATTGCCAACTCCCTTAAAATTCACATTGCTTTTATGCCTGATGGCTATTAAAATGAAGTGCAAAATATGGTCTGCAGCATGACTCCCACATGTTCTTGGCAGAATCTTGGAATTACTCTTTTCCCTGCCTTTCATATAACCATTCTCCATCAAGTCCTCTGGGAGTTCCCTTCTGTCCACATCAATTGCCTGAGCTGCCTATATGTTCCCCCTTTGTGGCTTAGCTCCTGCCCTGGTTTGCTCTACCTGTGATGCTGTTAATGCTCTCCTTCATTTAGAAATCTAACGTATCCTTTCACAGTCAAATGCTTTTGTGTGAAGGCATCCCAAGGAGTCACTGTAGTCAGAGTCACTCTCTCTCTTTGGAAATATAATTTCTTTCTTCCCAACACCTTTTATTATTATATTAAAAATATTTTACACTTTCCATATTGTGTTTTATTATTTGTGCATGAGCGTTTTCTGTCCTTCCAGATTTTGAAGTTTTTGACGGTAGGGGTTCAGTGTCTTGTGTATTATTTTATCCCACACAGGACTCCGCACACTGCCTGTGTGTAACAGGCATTCAACACATACTTGGTGGATGATCGTAAGACAGAGTCTGGGTGACTGATAACGTTTGTCACAAACTACTGGGAAAATTGAACTCTTTAAGCTCTTCCTGGCTAAATAAATATGTAATTAACTTTTGGCATGATGATTTGAGGAAGACACTGATGTTATTAAAGGTTGCTATTACTCGCAGGGGCAGTGGAGACCTCGTTCTAGTGGTGGCAGCAGCAGTGTCGGCATCTGATTTCCAGGGCACGACAGTGGCTTTCTCCAAGGTCCAGTGTCAGTGGGGAGTGGTAGCTTGGTCAGATGTTTCTCTCATGTGGCTCTGGTTTTGCCTGTTTCATGAGCTTGGTTTCCCAAATATCCTGCAACTCTGACCCATTCAGTGAGCCATTCAGGATCCCCTAATGATTCCCTTTCTGCTTACATCAGCCAGAGCTTGCTTGTTCTGTTGCTTACAACCAAGAACTCTGACATGTAGAGTTAATTTAAACTTTGAACATCAAATGATGCTTTCTACTAGGTATTAATGATTGTTGTTAACCATAAACATCTTTCTTACATGAAACCATAACATAGGGAAGGTCCCTTTATTTTCTGGAAAAGATACAGTACTTTTGGAAGTTTGTGTCTATTTCTGTGAATGCTGGAGATACATGCTAAAATTATGTTGTGTCAATAACATTTTAGTGACATGTATTTTTGCTTTTGTACGTTTGTTCTACTAGGTAGTTAGAGCAAGAAGATGGTATTTCCATCCCTCAAGTGGTCCCTTGCAACAATGTCATTTCTGCTTTCCTCACTGTTGGCTCTCTTAACTGTGTCCACTCCTTCATGGTGTCAGAGCAGTGAAGCATCTCCAAAAGGTAGTAATGGGACACCATTTCCTTGGAATAAAATTCGACTTCCTGAGTACGTCATCCCAGTTCATTATGATCTCCTGATCCATGCAAACCTCACGAAGTCGACCTTCTGGGGAACCACAGAAGTAGAAATCACAGCCAGTCAGCCCACCAGCACCATCATTCTGCATAGTCACCACCTGCAGATATCTAAGGCCACTCTCAGGAAGGGAGCTGGAGAGAGGCTGTCGGAAGAACCGCTGCAGGTCCTGGAACACCACGCTCAGGAGCAAATCGCGCTGCTGGCTCCCGAGCCCCTCCTTGTCGGGCTCCCGTACACAGTTGTCATTCACTATGCCGGCAATCTTTCAGACACTTTCCACGGATTTTACAAAAGCACCTACAGAACCAAGGAAGGGGAACTGAGGTATTTTTTTTTCTTTTTCTTTTAAACTGCAAGTGCTGTCCATGACAAATTCATTATTTCAGATGGATTGTCTTTTAAAATTCCCTTTGTTGTTGAACTTTTTCTTCAGTTTTGCTTTTGCATCTTCTTTATAGTGTTAAAAATGGCTTTTTCCCTTGCTTTTAAATCTAATTTTAAAATTCTATTTTAACCAATTTTCCCCCCAGGTCTATCAGAGTGAATATCTACTTGTTTATGTAGTTAGATTTCAGAGACATAATAAACATGTTTCATTTTCCTGACCTGTGGATTCGTTTCCTAGGGCTGTTGTAATGAAGCACCACAGACTGGGTGGCTATAAGCAACCAAATGTGTTCTCTCTCAGGTCTGGAGGCTGGAAGTATGAAATCAAGGTGTCAGCAAGCCCATGCTTCCTCCAGACGCTGGGTAGAATCCCTCCTTGTGTCTTCTGAGCATCGGGCGGTGGCCTTGGATCCCTGGCACACCATGCCTCGTGCTGTATGTTCTTTCCAGTCTCTCCTTCTATTGTCCCATGGCCATTCTGTTTCCCTGTGTCCCGTCTCCATCACCTTATAAGGAAACCAGCTATACCGGATTAGGGCCCAGCCTGGTGGCTGCTTGTTCACTCAATTATACCTATAAAGACGCTATGTTCAAATAAGGTCATGTGCACAGATACCACGGATTAGGACTTCAGCAAATCCTATTAGCAGCCTCTTAGAGGAAATACTTTCATCTCCGTTAAAACTTTTTTAGAGATCTCTACTCAGCTTGCTTTGATTCTGTTTTTAAGGAGGAGACTTATTTGGGGGAGATTTTGTGCCAAGTTTTAAAATGAAATTTTATTTATTAGATTATCCTAATTTGTTTTTCAATTTTATCAAGGTAAAAAAGTAAAATTTATTTTACTCATAGCCCCCTCAACTAACCACTGCTTCTATTTCAGTGAAATATTCTCCCAGACTTCTTTCTGGATGTGCGTATATGTTATTTTATATAAATGGAATTGTTATATTTTCTCGTTTACAAGGAAAATTTTTTAACTTAATATGTTGGGAAGATATTTTATATAAATGATTATTACTAGGCATCATTTTAATGATTTTATTAAAATATATGTTTGTACATTAATATCTTCAATCATTTGGCATTAGAAATGAAATTATTTTCAACTTTTCAGTATCAGCAACACTTTGGTGAACATCTTTGTAAATTATTTATTTAGAATAAATGCCTGTAAGTAAAATTGTAAATCAAAGAGCCTATACATTTTTGATCTCTTGTCATTTTTTCTCACTCCTCACCAATACTATGTATTGGCAGTCTTCTTAGAGCAAAAAAGGCTCCAAAATAATTTTAATTTATAGAACTTTGATTAAGGAAGTTGAGCAGCTTTTGATATGTTTGTTAATGATTTGTAGGTTCTTCTTTCATTAATTGCCTGTTTATGAATTTTGACTTTGCCTGAGATTCCCTTGGTTGTTGGTTATTCTTTTACACAGTTTTAGAATCTCATTATCTGTTAAAGCTATTAACTCTTCCTCTCTTATTTTCCCAGTTTTGTTTCCTTTTTTTTTTTGAGACAGGGCCTGGTTCTGTCACCCAGCCTGGAGTGCAATGGTGCAATCTCAAGTCACTGAAACCTCCGCCTCCTGCGCTCAAACCATCCTCCCACCTCTGCCTCCTAAGTAGCTAGGACTACAGGCATGCACCACCATGCTTGGCTAATTTTTGTATTTTTGGTAGAGATGGGGTTTCACTATGTTGCCCAGGTTGGTCTCACACTCCTGGACTCAAGTGATCCTCCCACCTCCCAAAAAAACATTAGGATTACAGGCATAAGCCACCGTGACCATGCCTGTCCTAACTTATCTTTTAACTTAGTTTATGATAGCTTTTGTCATGTAAAATATTTTTAGTCATAAAATCCATCAATCTTATAGTAACTTTAGGAATTAAAAAGCAAACAAACACCTGGATTAGAGTTCCTGGTGCTTCATGCTCAATTTTTATTTCACCTGCCTTAATTTTAGGATACTTGCATCAACACAATTTGAACCCACTGCAGCTAGAATGGCCTTTCCCTGCTTTGATGAACCTGCCTTCAAAGCAAGTTTCTCAATCAAAATTAGAAGAGAGCCAAGGCACCTAGCCATCTCCAATATGCCATTGGTGAGTCTGCACTCCTAGGTATTTTCTACAGGAAAATCTACTGATTCTCTGCAACTTACATTACCCTAGGGACAGTCAACATTGGGTCACCTGTTTTGTTTTATTGCCTAGCAGATAGTTGCTAACATTTCCTTTCATTTACACCCTATGCTTTTGTTTCAAGCCACAGTTATATGTAATCAGAGTAAAAATTGCCCCTAAAAATGCAAGATTTCAGTAACAGTGACATTCCAGGTTATTCATGCTGATAGGAGGGAAGTGGTGTAAGAAATTCAGGTCAGGTTTAAATAGTAGTGCCATTCACAAAGGGCTTTCTCATATGATCTTTTAAAATTATTTTAAAGAGAATGCTTTGTTAATAAGGCCATATTTTTAGCATATAGTTATTTTTTATAATTTCCATATACAATATAGTAATATTCACTATATAATTTGTAACTGAATGTGCAAAATTGGGCAGACAGCAAAAGAGAATAAAAGTAATCTTTTCCGAATTTTATGCTGCTAAAGGTAAGTAATGATAGATGGCTTAGCTTCCCGAGGGAAACCATTATTGCCCAATTTCAAAGCAGATGTGGACAGCATTGCCTCTGATTTTTAAAAGTTGCTAGAAGATGACCATGCAAAATGAATAAAACTATTCAGTGCCATTATCCTTTGATTCTGGTAGTTTAGAAAAGCATCAGCTGGGTCGTCATTCTGCAACTGGTGTGTAACACCTCCTGTAAGCACATCCTTTGGTCAGAGAAACTCACGGGGGATAAGACTCAGGGTAAAATGGGCTTTGCCTAGAGTCCTAAGGGATGGACAGCTTCCTCCCTGTGCTGACCAGGGAAGCAGTATCTTAGCATGGAGAGACACTGAGAGCCACAGACCAGCCTCCAGTATGGTACTTCCCAACCTTAAAACTCTACACCTTCCTTCGAGTACCATAAGGATGCCTTCTTCAAACACGATTCGCATCTCCCATCCCCATGCCAGAAGGCTATCTTCTGTAAAAAAACACTCTTCTGCAAGTTCCTACCAGTCAAGAACTTTTGTCCCCACTTTCACCCTTGTGTATGAAAAGACAAGAAACAGTTATGCTATTTGTCTAATATAAATTTAAAATACAGAATGTGCTTTTTCAAAATATAGTCCTCTTCCCCAGTTTTATGGTATTCCTCCCTGGGACAGAAGTGAGTTCTTGAATTGGTGAGTCATAGTTCTAGGAGAACAAAGGATCAGGGCTGGGAAGGAGACAGGAGAGACTGAAGGACCAAACAGGATTAGAGGAGAAATGTGTAGGCTTGTAGAGGGAAGGCCTGCAGCTTTGGAAGCTCCATGAAGATGCTACAGTCTAAATACATGAATATCCAGGATCCACTTGTTGAAGATAGGAAAACTTATTATTTTTTTTTTTTTTTAAGATAGGAAGACTTCTAATGCAAGCTTCTCCCTTTGGACAGAAACATTTCTCACTAACAGAAATCTAATATGAGTGGTCCGAGCTCAAGCTGCAGATATCGAGCTGAGGAAGAGAACAATGGGGTCTCAAAATATCTTTTTAGAGACCAGAAAAACAAAATATATGCCATTGGAACATTGAAGCTTTGGGGCATGGGGCAGAAATTAACCACATTTAAATTTGAATTAATTTAATCAGGTTACTTTCCTAATAATTAACACAACGAGAGAATGGAAATTTTTGGCCAGGTGTGGTGGCTCATGCCTGTAATCCCAGTACTTTGGGAGGCTGAGGCAGGAGAGTTGCTTGAACTCAGGAGGCAGAGGTTTCAGTGAGCCGAGATCACGTCATTGCACTCCAGCCTGAGTGACAGAGTGAGACTCTGTAAAAAAAAAAAGAAAAAAAAAAAAAGAAAAGGAAATTTTTGTTATGGGTGGGCAGAACCAGAATGCATTTAAAAAGAAAAGATGATTTGAGATCCTTTCAGAGTAAACTCAGGCTGGCTATCAGAATTAGTTTGAATGACCCAATATTGACCAGAAGTTGGTGGCTGATGGGTATTAAGAAGGATGAGGGCAAGTTGAGGTGGCTTATGTTTGTAATCCTAGTACTTTGGGAGGCAGAAGAAGAGGATTACTTGAGGTCAGGAGTTCAAGACTAGCCAGGGCAACATAGCAGGACCCTGTTTCTAAAAAAAAAAAAAAAAAAAATGAGGGCATAGCAATAGATGAGAATATAGGATTATAGAAAAAATGCCTGTTACCATGGTTTCACCCAGCTAATTCTGGGTGGTTCTTTCTCCAAGGTCTCATCTCAGTGCTTTTTATTGCTGAGGTATTAGACTTTCTTCTTTGGGGGCAGACCTCTAAGACTGTACTGCTGTTAACCATACCCCACCTTTAGCCTCTGATTGCACTTAAAAAGGTGATTTCAATGAAGCAAATCTAAGTTTGGAAGAAGCTTTGCAGGATCAGGCCCAGGCATAGGTATTTTCAATTATACAGAAGAACAGAAGCTCTTTTTAGGTACTACGGTGTTATATATTTTCCCCAGTGAGTATATGCTTGACATTGCATTTCCAGATAATTCTCAAACCTGTATTAAGGACATGTGGACTAGCCGCATCTTGGCAAAACTCACAGTCTCAGTTTTGCTTTGTCTCATCCATGTTATCAATCCACATATGCCAGAAGTTAGTCTGTTTGCAATCATCTGAATTATTTAAAAGAAGTTGAGTGTTGATAGTTGCACAACTTCATGATCACATTAAGAGCCACTGAATTGTAAACTTTAAAATGGTAAGTTTTATGGTATGTGAATTATATCTCAATAAAAAAGAAATTGAGTAGAACAGTTTGACCTTAATATCTAAATTATAATTAGATATTGGAAAGATAACTTCTAAAGTAATTATAGAAGTGTCATTAGGGTCTGGCTCTGTCACCCAGACAGGGGTGCAGTGGGTCAATCTTGGTTCACTGCAACCTCCACCTTGTTGGCTCAAGCCATCCTCCCACCTTAGCCTCCCCAATAGCTGGGACCACAGGCATGCACTACCCACAGGGCTAATTTTTGTATTTTTTTTGGTATAGACAAGGTTTCCCCATGTTGCTCAGGCTGGTTCCAAACTCCTGAGCTCAAGCAATCTGCCCGCCTTGGATTCCCCAAGTGCTGGGATTGATATGCTTTTAATATTATGTTTGGTAATTAGGAATTTTCTCATGTGTGGTGTATTGGCTAATTGGATTACTTGATAATTTGAATTATTCTGCTTTTAGGTGAAATCTGTGACTATTGCTGGAGGACTCATAGAAGACCATTTTGATGTCACTGTGAGGATGAGCACCTATCTGGTAGCCTTCATTATTTCAGATTTTGCGTCTGTCAGCAAGATGACCAAAAGTGGAGTCAAGGTGAGTCTAGGATTCTCACATATGATGACCAACTTGCTCTGGTTTGCCTGGTTGTGCTGGTTTTAAAACTGGAAGTCTGGCTGAGTGCAGTGGCTCATGCCTGTAAACCCAACACTGGGAGACTGAGGCAAAAGAATCCCTTGAGGCCACTGGTTTGAGACCACTCTGGACAACATAGTGAAAACCTGTCTCTTCAAAAAATAAAATAAAATAATTAGCCAGGCATGTTCCTTGTGGCTATTAGTCCTAGCTGCTAGGGAGGCTGAGGTGGGAGGATCCCTTGACACCAGGAGTTTGAGGCTTCAGTGAGGTATGACTGTGCTTTCCTGCCTGGGCAACAGAGCAAAACCAAGTGTCTAAACAAACAAAGAAAAAACCAAATAACAAAATTCTGGAAGCCCTACATCCTGGGAACCTCCTCAATCTCAGGCAAACCGGGATGGTTGGCCAGCCTATTGTCACAGATGTTGATTTGTATAGTGAAGTTCTAATAACAACATAGAGTGTGGCCTGGCCTGAGTCGTGATCCTGGCTTCACCGCTGACTGACTCTCTGACCTTGGCCTATTCCCTCTGGAACTTAGTGTTTACTTCTTTGGAAGGTATAACTTGGACTAGATCCTGCAATGGTCTCTAAGGTTGCTTCTGGTTATTTTTTTCTGCAGTTGGGAAGTAAATGTTACTATCTGGCAAGGGATTTCTGGCTATGATAAGGATGATAGAGAAACCTGCTTGAAATAGCCAGAGGCTGTGGGGAGAGCATTTGGGCCAGAGAATACTGGAATGCTGGAGAGAAAAATCTTGTTTCAAGGAGCAGGTGTTCCTCATCTGGGTACTGTTGCATAGTGAGCAACCTATACAACTATGTGCCATGGCTTGGAATGCAAACAGGTTTTTCTGAGGGGAGGAGGGGATGCTTTATTTGAAGGTACCTTATATATTTGTGCTGGTTTTCACTGAGGCCTGAATAGAAGGGGATTCACTGCTGAATTGCTTTTGTTCCTCTAGTGCTGAGACTTCTTATTCTTGTGGAGATATCTTTACTTACCTGATGATTTGAAGGGGACTTGAGACTTAGATGAAGGGAACATTCTTAATTCAGCAGTGAAACTATCAGCAAAAACACCTGCCCATTGTTTTGCCACTTATCTGAATCTCTTAGAAATGATTATTTTAATAATGTCCAATCTATACTAATATTTTTTCCCCATTTATTTATTTTATTGCATTTTAGGTTTTGGGGTACATGTGAAGAACATGCAAAGTTGTTGCATATGTACACACGTGGCAGTGTGATTTGCTGCCTTCCTCCCCATCACCTACATCTGGCATTTCTCCCCTTGCTATCTCTCCCCA